GTACAAAGCAGATCTTCTGGAGGTATCTGCATCACTGATTTCAAGCTGTACTATAGAGCAATAGTAATAAAAACTGCATGGTACTGGCATAGAAACAGAATGGTGGATCAATGGAATCGAATAGAAGATCCAGAAATAAACCCACACATCTACAGATACTTGATTTTTGACAAAGAAGCCAAAACCATACAACAGAAAAAAGACAGCATCTTCAACAAATTGTGCTGGTCTAACTGGATGTCTACATGTAGAAAAATGCAAATAGATCCATATTTATCATCCTGAACAAAACTAAAGTCTGTGTGGATCAAAGATTTCAACATAAAACCAGACACACTAAACCTGTTAGAAGAAAATGCAGGGAAGAGCCTTGACCTCATTAGCACAGAAGACAACTTCCTGAACAGAACATCAACAGCACAGGCTCTAAGATCAACAATCAAAAAATGGGACCTCATGAAACTGAAAAGCTTCTGTAAAGCAAAGGACACCGTCATCAAAACAAAACGACAGGCTACAGACTGGAAAAGAATCTTCACCAACCCTGACAGAGGGCTAATATCCAGAATATATAAATAACTCAAGAAGTTAAACAGCAACAAATCAAGTAATCCAATTAAAAAATGGGGTACAGAGCTAAACAGAGAATTCTCAATAAAGAAATATGGAATGGCAGAGAAACACTTAAAGGAATGTTCAATTTCCTTAGCCATCATTGCAAATCAAACTGACACTGACATTTCCCCTTACACCCATCAGAATGGCTAAGATCACAACTCAAGTGACAACACATGCTGGAGAGGATGTGGAGAAAGGGGAACCCTCTTCCTTTGCTGGTGAGAATGTAAACTTGTACAACCACTTTGGAAATCAGTCTGGCACTTTCTCAGACAATTAGGAATAGCGCTTCCTCAGGATCCAGCTATACCACTCCTAGGCATATATCCAAAAGATGCTCAAGTACACAACAAAGACATTTGTTCAACCATGTTTGTAGCAGCTCTATTCTTAACAGCCGGAATCTGCAAACACCCAGATGTCCCTCAATTGAGAAATGGATACAGAAATTGTGGTACATTTACATAATGGAATACTACTCAGGTATTAAAAACAAGGAAATCATGAACTTTGCAGGCAAATGGTGAGAAATAGAAAAGATCATCCTGAGTGAGGTAACCCAGAAGCAGAAAGACACACATGGTATATACTCACTTATAAGGGATATTAGACATACAATATAGGATAAACATGCCAAAATCTGTACACCTAAAGAAGCTAAGCAAGAAGGAGGACCCTGGGTGTGATGATCAGTCCTCACTCAGAAAGGCAAATGGGATAGACATCAGTAGAGGGTGAAAACAAGGAACAAGACAGGAGCCAACCACACAGGGCCTCTGAAAGACTCTATGCAGCAGGGTATCAAAGCAGATGCTGACTCAGAGCCAAACTTTGGGCAGAGTGCAGGGAATCTTATGAAAGAAGGGAGAGATAGTTAAGACCTGGAGAGGACAGGAGCTCCACAAGGAGAGCAACAGAACCAAGAAATCTGGGTACCGGGGGTCTTTTCTGAGACTGATATTCCAACCAAGGACCATGCATGGAGATAACCTAGAACCCCTGCACAGATGTAGCCCATGGCAGCTCAGTGTCCAAGTGGGTTCCCTAGTAATATGAACAGGGACTGTCTCTGACATGAACTCAGTGGCTGGCTCTTTTATCACCTTCCCATGAGGCAGGGTGCAGCTTTGCCAGGCCACAGAGGAAGACAATGCAGCCAGTCCTGATGAGACCTGATAGGCTAGGGTTAGAGGGAAGGGGAGGAAGACTTCCCTTATCAGTGGACTGGGGAAGGGTCATGGGAGGAAAAAGGGAGGGAGAGCAGGATTGTCGAGAGAGGGGGCCACAACTGGATACAAAGTAAATAAATAAATTGTAATAACTTAAAAAAATTAAAAAAAAGAATATTTAAGGGGAGAGAGAGAGACTGCTCATTTACTCTTCTTGCAGACACATGCACATACAGACATATGTTTATCAATTAAAGGCATGTAAGATATCTGGGTGTGGAGGTGTATACCTGTAGTCCCAGAGGAAGAGGGATGCAGCATCACAGCTAGGTGAGTTTCCAGGGGCTCTGATGCCCAGTGACCCCTTGCATACATGTATGTGATGCTTACAGAGTCATACCGGCTCACCCATATGCTTTTGGTTCTTTAAAGGCATCTTAGGGGGTGAGGTGGGAAAGAAGCCTTTGAAGCAACCCCCCTCCCCCCAGAGAGCACATCTTGACAAGACATAGGCAGCACCAGCAGCAGAAGGCTGGCTGCTTCTACCTCTGTAGTACGTATTTATTTTTTTAGCCAACGAACAGTGACATATTATTTTTTAAAGGCCACACTTGAGTATACGCTTGTATAATAATAAATGTATATCATTGCCTCAGTGTCTAAGCCAGTCCTGACAAACAAGAATACATACTGTTATTATAAATTACTCAGTTTTAACACTGCGTTAGTCTTGAATGTGTCAGTGCAGTCTATTGAATGTTAAAAATGGCCTTTCTGTATGTACCTAGTGGTTTATAAATTGCTTTTGAAAGTTTAATAGGTAAAAAAGTTACTTAAAATGTATACTATTTTTTTTTTTTAATTTTGATAGTTTTCTTTTTAGAGAAAAAAACATACTGTGTTCATGGCTAAAAGAAAGGCATTCTTGAACATACCAAAGACAAAGCACCTGAAAAGCTTGTGAAATTGTACATTAAAGCACAACTCCCCATAAAGGTTAGATGCAGCCCAAATGTGCAGATGTGTGTGTGTGTTTCAATAGAATACATTTATTTATTTATCTTAGGTCGTGTTTTATATAGGTTAAGAAAATTCACTTTCCAAAGGACGCAAGACTCTAGTAAAGAGGCTGTCCTAATAGATTTAATATCGGCTGTTTTGAGGGTACTATGTGGAAGTGTTCATGAAAGGAACTCACTGGATAAAACAAATTAACATATGTGAGGCTCATGCTCATAAAACCTACAAGTGAAACAACTACAAACCACTCCGGTAATCCTTTCAGCATTCCTAGCTGAATTAAGTTCGTCCTTGCTAAAGAAATTATCTCCTTCCCTCCCTCAGGCATGTAAAACAGTTCCTGTCCGGGCGGACATGTGCCTTAGGCGGGAAGTTCGCTGTTCAATCACCTGCTGACTGGAGTCTCGCATTTTCTTCTGACCCTTGCTCTTCTCTTCCCCTCTCAGGCCTGAAAGCTGTTTGGCCTAGGAAGGTCTTGACCTGAGGAAACCGTCTTGGGTAACCACAGCAAGGAAGAGGAAAATGCAATACCTAGGAGACTTCAGCAAACAGTAGAATCTTGCCAACCTAATCTGTGTTAAAATGCTTGGAATGTGGGAGCCGCTGGTGATGTCTGTTGTCTGTGTGTCTCACAGAATCCTTTCTTTTTTAAGCACAGCAAAGCCAAGCCTGGGAACCAGGCCAAACGCCTGCCACTTACCTTAAATTGATCAGCCGCTTTGAGATTAAAACCCCTGAAAGCTGCCACCCCGTGAAAACAAGGCCTCCTTCACATTAAAGGCAAATCGCGACTTCGGGTTTGCTGTGATCTTTCTTTTCCATTTTACCCAGGTTTTCACAGTGTGAACTTTTTTTTTTTCCTCTCCTCTTTCCATTTATGCTCCCATGTAGAAGCCAATAGTTATAGCATCTTGACCAAGCATTCATTAAGGTTTATAAGAACAAAATTTATGGTTACTTAGGAGTTGGCACAGAGGCCAACTGTGGCTAGAAAAAAGGAGAAATACAGGTGGGAAATATATGCCTTGACAAAGGCCTGTGCTATAGAGCACTGTGTTAGGCTCCTAGCAGCAGTCTGAGGAAAACTGAATAGTGGTAGAAGCCACTCACTCCTCTGTTATGGGTCTTTTCATTCCACGGTCCTGTGGATTTTTGAATCAAGCATTCTGATGATTCCAGGAATTTTATTTTATTTATTTGTCTTGTGTAAATGCTGCTTATCCCAGTAGCTGGAGGTTATAGGAATAAATAATTTGTGGTAAGTGGACCCATGTTCTGTCAGTTTAGCTACTGGATAAGGTAGAATTCATGTGTTTATATGTATTATAAATACATATACATACACAATGCATATATATATGATTAGACCGAAGGCTCACCTAGGAGAAGTTTTAGGATCTTCAGTAGACCATACATAATAGCAAGGTCTATGTACCCAAAAATGTACACCTCCCAAAATCTCAGAATTCAGGTAGTAATGTGAAACCATCATACAGACTGGAAGCCTGTAGTTTTCCCTCAGGAAACACTTAAGACTTTTCTTCCTTCTTTTTGAAAAGTGAATACTCTTTGATGTTCTTCATGAGGGAACTAAAACGGCTCCTTAGGGTGTTTTTGATAATATTTATGAAACATTGGACGAGTATTTTTTTTTCTTATTTCTACTAAGTGTTGTCCAAGAGTAACTGGGTTCACTGAAAAATATACTGCTTTGTTGTTTCATGGAGTAAGCAAGTTTCAAAATATTATCTTTTTTTTTTTTTTTTTAACCAATAACTCATTATTTGGCTTGGAGTAATAATGCCTTTCTATGTCCAGTCATCTGCCTAGGAATATTCCCACCGCTCACCATAACGATACGGCCTCATTAGCGTATCCGGACACGCCAGTTTCTTTTGTTCCTTCCATCTTGTGCACCCTGGAAAGCTTGCGCCTTTCTCCCCATGGAATTAAGTCCTGCTCCTTCACTAACTATGTTCAGAAAACCTTTACCTGGCTCCTTTTATTCTCTGAATTCACAGCTTCCTGGGTGCATAGTTTTTGGACTTGCTCTCTTTACCTTTCGCTGTGGGAACGACCCAATTTAACTCCCCCCCCCCCAACACCAACTGTAACTCTCCAAGAGCAGAGATCACGGCCTCCTGTTATCTTCCAGGCACAATTACTACACAATTCTGTTCGATGAAATGCTCATTTAGTGTAGAAAACCGAATGTGAACAGAAACGCATCACCTCCTTCCACAAAGTGCCAAGCAAGAACTTTGAGACTGCAGACGGTACCACACGTTTCTTAAGGAACCTGTGTAGAAGTCCCTTTTCCATTCTGTAGAGGGCCAGAGCCTCGGGAAGGGACCGAACTCTAAGTTGTGGGTCTGGTCTGCTCCTGGTCTGTTTAATCCAATTTGCCTGGCTGCTTTGTTACTTAAATTTCTGTCACATTGGATAGACGTTTATTTTGACTACTGATTTTGTCTTAACTTCCAGCTCTTCATATTTTGTATTTTACGTTCTCGTTCTTTGGTATTTTGTCAGTAATCCGGACTTCATGGAGGGTCTGATGTATGCTTAACGTTAGCCCACAGGTAACAGGAAATTCTCTATATATCAAGAAGCAGTTGGCAAGAAAACACAAACACGTGTCTGCAGAGGTTCACCTTGCATTTTGGTGTGTAGGTTAATGATCTGAGGGTCGTTCAAAAAAATCATAATAGACTACTATTTCATAGTGAGACAGTCGGTATATCAGTTCAGAGATGACATCAAAGCAATCACAGGCTCTGCACGGAGAACTTTTCTCAGGGACGGTGGGGCCGAAATGAGCCCTCTCGCAGATTAACGTGTCTGTAAAATAGAGGGAAGAGGAGGGGAGAGAACATGAATGAGTGAGTACCCAACTAATGAGAAGTCCAAAAAGTCGAACAGAAATTGAATCCTGGAAAAAAACAAAAAAAAAACAACAAAAAAACAAAAACAAAACAAACAAACAAAAAAAAAACCCCACCCTATTCAAGTTTTTTTTTTTTTTTTTTAAATGCAAAGAGCCCTGGTTCTGAAAGGAGAAAACCTGGACTCCAGTCTTTTTTTTTGGTACCATTTTCAAGATGTGCAGTCTTGAGCAGGCTAGGGCGTCTTTCAGAGCCCTAGTTCTCACATTCATTAAATAAGGGTAAGAGTCTTCCCAGACCTCACGTCAGGAATGAGTGTGTGTGTGTTTGTGGGGGGAGTGTGTGTGTGGGGGGTGACAGCTGCAGAAATGACTGGAAGAAACGGATCACAGAGCTGCAGAGAGTACGGAGAGTCTGGTATTTTGTTGTGCCAGTGATGTTTTGTGGGGCTAGAAAAGTGCTGATGTCTTTCTCTGAAACTGCATCTCCTTATCTCCGCCTCACTACAAAACACCACACATTGCTCCTTTCTCTTCTACCGAGTCACTTTTGGAAAAGGACAGATCTTGTCCTTACAAAACCGGAGAAAGCATCCTCTGAGGGGTTGGCCTCCCCGGAGGAAGTCCGTGCTGGCTGTCATGCCCCACCTCCTCCCGACCTGGGCATCTTCCTGCTGACAACATTCCCTCGCCTTGTACTTCCTTTTCTTCCGTAGATCTCCAGAGCCCCTGCTGGCTTGGATGTCAAAATAGTTTTTGTTTTACTCACAAGAATTCTTGAGAGTTTTATGGCAGCAAAATGATGCTTTGAGGTTTTTCTGTTTTTATTGTTAACGTTTAGTATGAGGTTGGCTGTAAGTTCTAGCCAAAGCAACTACATAAGAAAAAAAGAAATAAAAGGTATGTAAGTCAGAAAAGAAGAAACCAACATTTTGTTTCCCAGGGAGCTGGGGAGATGGCTCAGTGGTTAAGACTGCAACACTGCTCTACCAGAGGGCCTGGGTTTACATCAGTTACCCACATTAGGAAGCTCATAAACACTCTAACTCCAGCTCAAACCTCTTCATCTACACCCGCGGTGCGCACTCACACAGGCACATAACTAAATACATTAATTAAAAACAAACACTTTGCTTTCAGATGACAGTAATATTTCTTATGGTGTCTCTAAAGGCATGTGAACTGAAGGGTTGATCCTTCCATGAAGCAGTGTTCAGATGCAGGGCTGGAAAGGATTGCATTATGAATACTCTGACCTTATGAGTGTAGCATAAGAATACAAAAAGCATTTTTAGATGTGTCCAGACTTTTAGGATCTGTCACTGTCCTTGTGGAGCTCTTGTCCTCTTGAGGTCTGACTATCTCCCACTTCTTTCCTAAGATTCCCTGCACTTTGCCCAAAGTTTGGCTATGAGTCTCAGCATCTGCCTCAATACCCTGCAGGATAGAGCCTTTCAGAGGCCCTCTGTGGTAGGCTTCTGTCCTTCTGTCCTTGTTTTCACCCCCCTCCAATGTCCATCCTCTTTGTCTTTCTGAAATGGGGACTGAGCATCTTAGCCAGAGTCAGCCAAGGACTACTCATGGAGATGGCCTGGAACCAATGCACAGAGGTACCCAAAGCAGTTCAGTATCCAAGTTGCCTCCATAGTAATGGGGATAGGGACTGTCTCTGACATGAACTGATCGGACTGCACTTTGATCATCCCCCCGAGGGGGGAGCAGCCTTACCAGGCCACAGAAGAAGACAATGCATCCAGTCCTGATGTGACCTAACAGACTAGGATCAGAGGGAAAGGGAAGAGGAGGACCTTCGTTTTCAGTGGATTGGGAGAGGGACACAGGTGGGGAAGAGGGAGGGGTGGATTGGGAGGAGAGGAGGGGAGAGGTAGGGGGGGATACAAGGTGAATAAACTGTAATTAATAAAAATAAAAAAGCATTTTTATATTCTAATGACTTGAGCTTTTCAAAGAAAACGTTGATGATAGCCCTGTTGGGAGCAACGAAGTGGCTTAGGGAGTAAAAGCGCTTGCTGCAGTGATCTGACTCCAGTCCCTGAAACCCATGTGAAAACAGAGTTGCCCAGAGGCCATGGGTCAGCTGTCCTAGCTTACTCAGAGCCACAGAAACAACAGGAGTGCCGCCGGTCAACAGTGTGGAAGGAGACTTCCAAAAGTTCTCTCTCAGCAGCACACATGGGTCTTGGCTTGTGTGTATACCCCCCCACACATACATACTTAAAAACAATACAGTGGTACATTTTATAATAATATCAAAAAGAAGAAAGTGCTTCAAAATAAGTTTAACAAAGCATGTTAAAGATCTTTAAACTGGAAAAGATTAGATACTGGTGAAAAGACTGAAAACCTAACAAACACTAATGGAAAAATATGCCAGGTTCATAGATTCAGATAAATATTATTGTTAAACTGTTATTCCATGGATTTGTTGTAATGTACATTTAAAAAAACAGAAATAGAAAAATCCTAATAATTATACATAGACCCTGAATAGTTAAAACAACTGAGTGAAATATAAAATCTGGTGGTGTCCTACTTTCTGATCTCAACCTACATTGCCAAACCATAGCAATTAAAGTTATACAAAATTTGTATTACTGCGATACAGGTAGTTAGGCCTGCAGAATACAATGGCTACCCAAGGGATACACTTAACTCTTATACTCAAGAAAATTCCTTGATGCCAGCACAAAGAAAAAATGCAATGGTGAGTCACTGGGAAAGAACACATTCAATTAGTGGCGTTGAGAGTGTGAGAGGCCGGAAGAGGAACTGCAACCAGACCCTTCAGATCTACACAATAACTCAAGATATGTAAAGGATAATTATTAGAACTTAGACCATAGAACTCGAGAGAAGCTCTTGGACATGGCTCTTGACAATAAGTTTTTGGGTACAATATCAAAACACAGAGAACAGAATAAAAAAAAAAAAAAGAGGTGTGAGGAGCACAAACTAAAACAGCACCACACAGCACAGAAAGCAATCTTGAGGGTAAGGTGACGATGTCTGGGGCAGGGGCAGTATTTACAGGCGATTCTTCTGCGCAAAACACAGCCCAAGCTCATGCAACTCAGTCTCAAAGAGAAGCAATTAAAAATTGTCGGCAGAAAAATTCTTCCAAAGAAGACAGTCAAAGTTCAACAGGTGTTTGAAAAGAGTCACAATATTACGAATGTTCATAGATATGTAAATTAAAGCTATGACAGTATATTAATTACCTTACAATATATTAACCATCCCTTAAGATGGAGCAGGATGTAAAGTAAAGGAATGTTTATATACTGTGGTTGGGAATACGAGTTGGTCCATCCATAATGGAAAAGCAGTGTAGAGAATCCTACACAAACAAACAAACAAACAAAAAATAAAGCTACCGTATTATCCAGAATTACTAATATATGTATATAGGACCTATATTCAAAGCAAATAAGACTATGTCTATATACCCAAAAGAAATTAAATCTGTGTATTAAATAGGCAGTTGCACAGTGTTCACTGCCGCGCGGTTTCAAAGAGTCTTGGGCACTTGAATACTTGATTCCCCATTGTTAGCTGTTTAAGGAGGGTTAGGAGGTGTGGCCTTGCTGCAGGAAGAATGTCTCTGGGGCCGGCTTTGAGGCGTCAAAAGACTTGCTTCATGTCAAGTGAACTCCTCTTTCTGTCAGTAGATCAGTATGTGAACGCCCAGTGGCTGCTCCAGCGCCGGGCCTGCCTCTGGCTGCACAAGCCCCAATCAACCGTCTAAGTTGCCTTGGTCATGACAGCGATGGAAGAGTAACACAGAAGTAGAAACCAATTGTCTGCTGACTAAGAGTGGATAGAAAAACTGTGGTGTCTGTAGACTTACACAGTAGAATACTGTTCAGCCTTAAGAAAGGAGGAAGCCTGAGGTCAGGAAGATGGCTCAGTCAGGAAAATGCCCACTGAACAAACACGAAGACCAGAGACAGTACAGAGGTTAAGAGCACTGACCGCTCTTCCGGAAGACCCAGGTTTGATTCCTGGCACCCACGCGGCGGTTGACAGCTGTTCGTGACTCCACACGGATCCCCCTTCTGGCCTCTGAGGGCACTGCATGCATATTATGCAGACATACATGGAGGCAAGCACGCATGCGTAGAAAGATAAATCTTAATAAAACCTCAGACACTTAACATTTCCCAAGCCAGATGATTTCAAGTGTTCTTAGCCCTCACGCCCCCCGAACAAAAATGGTAACCCTGAGGCAGTAAGCTGTCAGCGCCACTGTGGCAGGCATCACCCAGTATGCATGCAGATGAAAGCATCGCATCGCATATGCTTTGCGTAGGATGGGTCAGTTGTAAATCATGTCTCAGAAAAGCTAGGAAAAGGGAAGCATTCCATTTCCTCGACATTTCCAAGTCTCTTACTAATTCATTCTTATTGGTCACTGGATCCAACAAGATCATTCCTCCTCCTAGTTTTCTTCCTCCTCCTTCTCCTCCTCTTCCTCTTCCTCCTTTTCTTGGCATTTTCTAGGAGCCTAGAGTTTAGTGTGGTGTACACAAGCAGACGCCCACGTAACAACATGGTACAGATAAGGAAGTGTGACACACCATCTGTATGCTCTGGAGGAATTTCCCTGGAGAGGTTTCAGTGGATTGGCTGTAGCTGACGTTTCTGGGGATGGGCAAATCTGCACTAGTCATCGGCACAGAGCTGGCCCTTCCAGTCTGAGCATGAGCTGGGACTCACCTCTCAAAAGCTGAAGACAGGAAACGTATCTGCTCTTCATCTGCCTTGACGGCCTGTTTCCGAAACAGAGAAGCCAAAGATGTCATTTGACTATTCTGAAGGCAGTTGTCTGTAGATCTAGAATAATTACAGCCTAGAGACAATATCTGAGGTATTTTATTGAACAGGCTCATTCTGACCATGTCTCGTTTGCTTTTTATTTAGCTCCCTATGTGCACCTATGTGCATGTATGTATAAGGACAAGTTTCCAGCCCTGTGGCGCTTAGCACACAGCTGAGTGGCAGAGTGGGGAAGAGGATCTTAGCTGGGGAACTGCTGGCATGGGGGGAGGGGCTGCTGAGGCCGGAGGGAAACAGGCTGTTTTCTCAGAACAACACCCTTGAAAGGAAGAAGAGATTAAGAACAGTAAAGGCTGGCTCCCTCCTTCAGGTAAGTTAGCTACTTGCCTAAGGTGCTAGAGCATCAGTAGATAAGCATGGATGCAAAGTCAGATTTCTACCACAATCCGTTCACTCTACTGCTTTCCTTCAAGGTAAATATAACCCTAATGGATGAGGAACCAGTTGGAGAGTTAGAATTGATACCCTGGTTATCCCAGAACTGTAACCAGTCTATCCTAGTACCCTTGACAGAACATCCTTGTATTTGTCTTATAAAAAGTTTACAGTATTACCGAGAACGTGCTTTTTGCTTTGTCTCTGCTGGTACTTCAGCCCCCTCCGCCAGAGGAAACGTTGTTCTGATAGACTGTCTGTGAGGCACAATTGTGTTTTCAAAGTAACGCTCCAAAAAAACCTCTCAGTTTTTTAATTTAAAATTTCAGTTCTTGTTTTTTTTTGTTTTGTTTTTGTTTTGTTTTGTTTTGTTTTGTTTCTCTGTTTGTTGAAGCAGGGTCTTAGCTAGTTCAGGCTGGCATCAAATCTCTATGCAGCTGAGGATGACCTTGAACTCCTGATGCTCCCGCCTCTGCCTCCTGAGCGCTGGATTACAGACCGGTGCTTTGTGCTCACTTAAATTTGTTATTTTTTTTCTTCCATTTGAGACAGGGTTTCTCTGTGTAGTCCTGGCTATCCTGGAACTCACTCTGTAGATCAGGCTGGCCTTGAACTCACAGATATCCTCTTGCCTCTGCCTCCTGAGTGCTGGGATTACAGGCATGCATCACTACTGTCCATCTCAAATTTGTGTTTTTAATTAACAGATAATTCTGTATATTTATAGTCTACAATATGATGTTTTGATATGTGTGTTTTCCACCAAGTGATTATATCAAGCTAGTTAACATACCTATCGACTCATACATACTCATTATTATTATTATTATTATTATTATTATTATTATTTGTGGTGAGAATACTTAAGACCTCAGCAGTTTGAAATGCAGCATGGTTTTGCACTATAATTCACTTGAGTCATCTCATGGAACAGTAGGTCTTGAACTGGAACAGCATGTGATTTTCCTTGTATGTACCCTTCTCTCCAGCCTTGATAACCAGCATTTGATTCTCTACTTCTGTGAATTGTACTTTTTTTTTACACAATATTTTAATTGATTCATCATTTAAATATTGATTCCCATCACACTGTTTTCCCAGTCCCCCCAGGTCCACTCCTCCTTGTGACCGCCCACCAAAAAGAAGAAGGAGAAGGGTGTGGGAGAAACAGAATAAGATTAAGAGGAGGCAGAGGAAGTGAAGGTGGAGAAAGATAACAATAATAATAATAATAATAATAATAATAATAATAATAACAACAACAAAACAAAATCAAGTCCAATTTGTGTTGCCCACATACTCACTGTTGCATGGTCAAACTCCCAGTGACCGGCCCCTTAAAGAAAACTGAGTCCCTTATGATTTCATATATAAGTGAAAATCTATGGCATTTGTCTTTCTGTGGCTGGTGTATTTCACTTTATGTATTGTCCTCCAGATTCATCTATGTTGTTGCAACTAATAGAATTTCCTCCATTTAAAATTCAGAGAGTATTCCATTGTATATACACAGCATGTTTTCATTTCAGTGTCTATTCTTCCATTGGTAGATACTAGGCTGGTTTCAAATTTGATGCTATGAATGACAGCGTATTTATTTAGAGAATTGTTCTCTAGTACATAAAGGAGGCATCTTGAAATCGGGAATTTTTAAGTTTCTTTCTAGACCTCCTATTTATTTTCTGTGTGATCCTAAAAAAATTATAGTGCCTACCTGAGCTTTGCTGTCTCATGTATAAAAAAAAAAAATTCTATAAACATATGAATGAGACAGTATCTGTCAAACACCTAGTGGCTGACATATAGAATGTATAGTGATAGCGTACAAAGGTAAAAAAGCCAGTCCTCCCCTGCGTGCCTTAATTAAGATTTGTAAAAACATCCCATGTTTTAAGTGTTAAATGTGAATACCTTTCTTCTTGCTCCTGGGAGGCATGTCTCCTTGACTCGTTATGGCCAAAGCAACCATGGACTCAGCACTCACCCTGGGGGGGGGGGGGGGCGGCGGCGGTGAAACCATATGTTGCAACAGGGGAGTTGGAATTTCTGCCTGGCTGAAGCTATCTCCTGGCACCTATTATCCCTCGGAAACAGATACAAGACATTTCTTAGGGCTGTGTTTGCCCTTTGTGCTCTTTGTAGCCTGCATGTGGGTTGTTATCACTGGCTTCCACTCACCTTGTCTCCATGCCTTCCTTCTAAGCTGCCATGACAACCGTCCTCCAGTTGGGAGTTCGGAATTTTGAGAATGGAAAACCTAGATGTGCCAATCTAATCCGAATGCGGTCCCATCCTTAGGAATCCAGCCATCTACTGATGACCTATTACTTACGTACCTAGAAGTGCTTCATTTCTTTGTTTCTTTTCCTTCTTTTTATTTTTATTTTTCTTGAGATAGATTATGATACTCTGTAGGGGAAAGAGAGCCCCTAAAAGACAAAATGACAAGGATTACACACACACACACACACACACACACACACACACACCCTCAGTTTAATCTCAAGCTCTTTGCAGAGATAAAAATCAGTTCCCCAAAGCATGTAAGCCGGCGGGGTTTGAGGAAGGTGGTAACTGAATCTTGAGTTTCTTTCAACACAGAAGTGGGAAGGAAAGGCTCTATCCTCCCAGAGAAAAGAGCTTTGGAGGGAAGCAAGGAGGTTCCTGCATACGAATAAACCAGATGATGAAGCCTATGAACAGGAAAGGCCGCTATCGGCTCCATCGACACACAGCTGTCTGCTTCTAATTTCAACCCCTTTTATCTGTCCTGAATTATGCTTGTCAGGAAAAACCTATCAAAACTTATAAACTTATGTAATTCCCATTTATGCCAACCGTGAAACACGAACTACTCAGTTATTCATAAGTCACAAATATTTATCCTCTGACTACTATAGGAGAGGAAATGAGCAAGGCTAAACTATAGAATAAACTGTTATACAACCTCAGGGGTATTTGGATTTATTTTATGTTCAGCAATTCAAGCTCTGTCTTATTTGAGGAAAGGTGCCGGTACACGGTTCTGATGAGATGAAGATAGAATGGACAGAGGCTTTTTTTCCCCTTGCCTTTCTTGTGGGTACAGATTGCACATATGAAGTGGGCAGAGGTCACAGCTACCATCAGAAAGAAAAATGGTACCCTGACAACAGTAACCCAAAGTCACACTTAAGAATCTTTTAGGGCAATAAGAAAGTCTAGAGGAGCGATGTACATAGCCCTGGACAGGATGGCCAGAACCCAGTTCCAAAGGGCTCTTGTTGCTTATTGGTGAGTCCCTTGCTTTCCCTTCTTTCTGAGAAGATTCTCCAGCCTCCCTTTGATACCCTGTCTCTTTTCTGCCATTCATCAGCTGGGACACTAGTTTGAGGAGATGTAAGCACAGATCTCCCTTCCTCCTGTCCCAGGAACTTAACCTGCCTTCATTTGGGGCCTCTACTATTACAGTCTGACTTCTAGGGTTTACTGTAAGGGGGGATAGGGCAACTCACCCCCTCTCTTAAATGCTTACTCTAAGCACACGCAGAAATTCATCTGCTGGCTAGAGCCAGTCACCCAGGCCCACCTGACTACAAGCAGGCAGGGCTTCTATTCCTGTGGGTCTAGGAGAGAGAGCACGTTCACACCAGGCTTCTTTGCTATGAAGAACGTAAGATTCACGAAGAGCTTAAGATTCCCCAAGCGGAGAAAGGCATGGAAGTTTGGGTCAGATTAGCCAGCATGGTGGCGCATGTGTGGTTCTGGCAGCTGTGGGGACTGAGATGGAAAGGCCCGAAGTTCAAAACCAAGCTCTCCTGAACTGTTTGTCTCAGCCACGGAGCCAGAGTGGTCCAGTACTTCATGCCACTTTAGAGAGCAGGACGGCGTGGGTGTGTGGCTTCTGCCTCTGTCGGGATTGACTAAACACTGCCCAGTGTAGTTGGAACTCGGCTTTCCACGCGCGCGCCAAAGGGCCTGAGCGCGGCTACCTGGAAGGGTGGGGAAAAGACGCAGCCGAGCCCCGATTGATGGAAAAGTGGCATGAAGATGGAGCCCAAAAGATGCGTTCACTCTCCTGCATTCCCTAGAGGCACTCTCTCCCTGATGGTTCACGGTATCTTCTGTATCTCCTCAGGGATCTGTCATCCTTGGCCTCTGCGGAATCTTTCACCTTGGGAAGAATCCCATTTTTACTGTTTCGTGTTCTTTAGCCTTCCTTCTTGCTGCCTTAGCATTGTGTTCTCAAATAAAGTATCGACAGTTAATTCACATCCCAAGGTCTACTTTTCAGGGAATCCAGAGGGAAAGAAAGTTTCTTATTAAATAACATTACAGAAGTTACCTTGAGGCTTAAAAAATGTCGTCAAGATTTACATTAAGGGGGCAGAAGAAGAGAAGTTAAAATGCTTAGAATGAGGAGATAATAATGTATTGTCCGAAAGGGTGCTTTGCCAGCCTTCCACTGTTGAGTTGAGTCTGGAGGATGGAGAATTTCAGGAGCTTTGAGATCAAAGTAAAAAACGCAAAAGCTGGTGTCAGGAAGAGGTTCTGAGCAGGTCAGAGCGCTTGCTCTGCACCAGAGAAAGAAGTTGGGCATTGCCCACTAACCCTAGTGCTGTGGGGCATGGGGACAGAGACAGGAGGATTACTGGGGCTTGGCTGAGCGAGACAAGGGTCTCAAATGAACGAGGTGGGGGATGACACAAAATACCTAATATCCTCCTCTGGCCTCCGTGCAAACACAGGGGCAGGTACCTGAACACACATGTGTATATATTAAAAAACTCTCTCTCTCTCTCTCTCTCTCTCTCTCTCTCTCTCTCACACACACACACACACACACACATTTGTAACTATGAAACTAGAAGTATATTGTAAAGGTACATGACACAGAGTTAGAGGTTGGCACAGACCAGTAGAGCTATTGAAACAATAATTTAGAATGTTGACTATTTAATATGTAAGCCCAAGCAAATAATTTAAGATACAAATAGGTTTAAGTACTCAGTTGACAAAGAGCTGAATCAATGAGTCAAGTCTAAAACAATTGAATTGTTTGAGAACATATTGAAGGTTCACAAATCCTAATGCTGTTCTATGAAATCTAGGAAAAGGATTCAACTGCAAATACCGAGCACATTTAGAATCTGGGAAGCGATCAAGGGAATAGGAGAATAGAGACCTTTACTGCCTGCAAGCTGGGATGAAGGAGTCAGGCATCCAGTCTCATTATCTGAATCTCTCCTGCAATGTTCTTACCTACGACCTCTCAGCCTCTTCCTGAAGAATTCCAGTCATGATGTATTTGCTTCCTGAACTGAAAATTGAGTGCGACTGTGTGACCTCCCACACCATCTGTGTGTGTGTGTGTTTGTGGGGTTGGGGCTATATATAGTTCAGTTCCCAGAGTGCTTGCCTGGCATGCATGGCATCTTGGGTTCCATCCCCACTCCCACCTATACTGGGTTAGGTGGTGTATGCCTGTAATCTCAGCACTTGGGAGGTAGAACTTGCAGGAGGGACCCAAACGCAAGGTCATTCATCGCTACATGGCAAGTGAGGAACCTGCCTGAGATACATGAATCTCTGTCTGTAATCAGTAAGTAAGCCTGGCAGTGAGGCGGATCTCTGAGTTTGAGGTCAGCCTGGTCTACATAGTGAGTTCCAGGACAGCCAGGACTACACAGAGAAACCCTGTCTAAAACAACAACAACAAGAGAAGGAGGAGGGGAAGGAGGAGGAGGAGGAGGAGGAGGAGGAGGAGGAGGAGGAGGAAGAGGAGGAGCAAAAGGAGGAGAAGAAGGAGGGGAGGAGGAAGAGGAGGAGGAGAAATTAGTAAATAAAAGCAGTATGTGCCCTTTTCACTGTCTGTCTTTTACCCTCACAAAAAGTGGCTTACAATTGTTCTTCCACACGCTGATGCAAAGGTACCTGAAGGCAGAGTTTATATTTCCCAAGCCTTGCTTTGCCTAAGGAAATGTCCACCACTTCATTAGTCACCCACTCCATGCTTCCATGTTTGTGTTTTGGCTCAAGCCATTTCAGGTTTCTAAAGTGAGGAAGGAGACTCGCTCCAGTCTCTCTCAGGCCAAGGCACATCAAGTCAATGAACCTTGTAAAAGAAGCTAGGCACAAGAAGACGGGCACTACGTTCTCACTCATACAGGACATACCGTCACAGACAGAGATCAGAACAAAGGTCCCCTACCTTCCTAGACTAGAGGAGAACAAAGACGCCTTACCTTTTGAAGACGGAGATTAGGAGAACAGTTCCTTACCTTCACAGACAGAGAGTGTAACAGTGGTCACTGCAGGCTGAGGAGAGCAGGCAGGCTGGCGGAGGGAGGCTCCATTACAGACACTGGCGGGCAGTTCACAAAGGAACGAATTGTGCTGTCCTGCACACTGGTACTGACTGCGGCTCGCAATGCTCCGTAATGATCTGGAAGAGAGGGATTCTACGTTTCCCAGCACAAAGAAATGTTACATGTTTAAGGACATGGAACTGAAAGCTACCTTCCTTTGACCACTGCCCTTTATACATGTCTATTAAATTATCATTCGGCACTCCTGAAATATGTACATTTCTTTGTTAATAAACATTTGTTTTAAAATGTGCTCGTTAGTTATCTAGATCTGAACTCAGTGTTTTATGTCTTGTTAGACTAAGGCAGAAGTATTAAGAATGTTTATTTCCTTATTAAAAATTCCATATTTCTGTTATGTTATCTATTCCATGGCCACTGCTAACTGTAATAAGACCATCAGGAGAAGCCCTCCTGTGGCTTCTCAAACAGATTTTTTCCATCCTTCTCTATCTATCTATCTATCTATCTATCTATCTATCTATCTATCTATCTATCTATC